TAAAAAGCACGACCAATCATCTGAGCCGGCCAGACTAAAATAACTGGATGACTACAGTACCACGGCTTCCACAGATGATATTTTTTATGGATTTTTTGTCAANACATCAAACGGCAAAACATATTCAGTGTGTCAGTTCCTTTTGGGTCATTAGGGACACGGGATATCTAGATACTTTCCAAAGGTTTGACTATAATGAATTGTGTTACTTTTTAAAGTCAAGCAACGATGTTTTCAAATCTGTAATCAAAGAGGTCCGCAAAAACTCTATCGACCAATCAGATTGCTTGATTTGACTTGTCAGTTTTATAAATATATTTACATTTCTTCCGTTACGAAACAAATTTACAAAGCATAAGATGGAAACATTTAAGATTAATTTCGACCTCCGGGGGGGTCTTACTATGGAGGAGTGGATTGAGGAGTGCCTATCTCCAGTCAAAAAAAGCACCTAACTACGGCATGCAGAGCTACGTGAAGAGCAGGTAGACCAACTGGAAAAGTACCACCATTCAAAAGCTTTCTGATGCGGGTCTTGAAACAAAGCAGAGAAATTATGACTGTTAGTGGCCACAGGTGCGAAAGCTCTCTCCAGAGCTACTGGAAGCCCAATCTCGGGGACCGGAGAAAGTGGAGCAATATTCTCGCCACGCCAAGCAACAGCTGAGTACAACCTCAACCTATACAAGTGACCACGTAAGCCATGCTACTGATGCTGGACAGTTTTTCAGTGGATGCACAATAAACGGCAACATACACATTAATATAAATAAACAGCCAAATAATGGATCAACGCTCTCTGTCTAATATGTTCGCTTGCCGTTAGTGTTGTTGCATAGCAACCACTTCGCACTATGTTTCGTGCAGAAGGCAACGGAGGGACTATTTTATTTTGAACATCATTATTTACTAATAAAAACTATTTAAATTGGAGTGTGTATTTTTCTTCGCGTGGGGCCGAACCACGCCCCTTACCTGTGATATAATGAGCATATACCACGGCCTGTCGTGAGCTATTGCTTAATTATAAAACAAGTTTGACCGTCTAAAAAAGGCTGACTGCATTTTAAATACCAGTGCTAGTGGATAGGGTATCAAAGAGTTGCTCCCACTTTAAAACTGCATGGCTCCCGACATTTAGATCTAGGTTGTCAGAAAAGTCAAGAAGAAAAACTGACAAGCAAACAGCTCCAGAGGCTGTCAGTGTCTCAGGTGGATGTGTGTGTGACTTGTGAAGGACAGTTGTGGGATAAACGCACACATGGGGAGTAATACAACTCGCAGACAGCTTTCAGGCAAAGCAGCGCCGCAGAGAAAAGCAGACGGAGGCGGATTCATCAACACAATCTGTCAGGGCTGAGCAGCTTTATGCAAACAACTGATATATGGAGAACTCGCACCGTCTCGCAGAGTAAGAGAGGGAACAATAACACATGGTGGTGTTAGCAGAATACTGTGGAGGTTAACATGGGAGAGAAACAGGTGCAGACAAGAGGAGGAGGAGGAAGAGGGGGAGGAAGAGGAGGAGGAAGGGGGAGAGAACAATGCAGACAAACAGATGTAGGCCTGCATATGAGGAGGCTATGCAGAACATGAGATATATTAGTAAGAAGGATTAGAGCGGATCAGAAAGACAATAGCTGAGTTTCTATCCACTTATATTGTATTAACACAAACAGGATAAATGCTGAGTGCAATGGAATGAATCCTGACTAGAGAATGATTCTGGAGGGGAAAACGATGCATATTGCAAGAAAAAAGTGCAATTGGTAAAGAATGGGCAAATTAATCACGACGTACATAAATTAAAGACCTATTTTTTTTTTAATTTGGGTTAATTTTACTGGTTTCATTCTTCATGTTTTGTTGTATTGTGATCAAACTCTTTTTGGTTTGTAACTTTTTTTACTTATGTTCATTGTATTGTTATGTTTCTGTGCATTTCATCTGGTTCAGTTAAGCACTTTGGGCTGCTTCCTTCACGCATGGTGCTTAATGAATACAAATGAATACAATGGGCGGTGGTGGCGAAGTCGATAGGGACTTGGCTTGGCAACTGGAAGGTCACCAGTTCAAGTCCCGGCAAGACCAAGTGCTACCGAGGTGTCCCTGAGCAAGGCACCGTTCCCTACACTGCTCCCCGGGCGCCGTTCAAAATGGCAGCACACTGCTCCTAACACTAGGATGGGTCAAATGCAGAGAAACAATTTCCCCA